GTGTGGATCCCGTCGTAGTAGTAAATGTAATTGCCGAGCTGACAGAGGTCAAGGCGCTGTTAGAAGCAGTTGAGAGGGGAAGCAAAGTGTCAGATTCCTCCGCCTCCAGGGGTCCTACCAGGGAAAAGGGGCCGATGCACCCTACCAGAAGGACAGAGTATCAGTTCCAGCATGACAGGGAGACTCGAGCTTGAGCGTTCTCACGAAGGCTTCAACGCTCGGGGTTGTGTGGTACCCCGGGGAGACAGACATGAGGCCACCCTCAGCAAGACAACGAAAGGGAAAGCCAACGCCCAAAAGTTTTGCTGCCTCGGACCCATCAGGCGTCGCTCAACAACTACAGCGCCCGCCAGGGCCGAGGCGATGGCCATCGAGACGTCGGTGGATGGTACCAGAGGTTAAGGAGTACCAGGCCAACTCGCCAAGAGAAACAAGCCTGAAAGTAGATGATCGACAGAGGTCCAACTAGGGCGATCACTCGTTCTAATCCGAGGTGGACCTTCTCCGAGATCAGTTTCAGAAGGAGATAGGAGACCTCAAGCGGCAGTGCAATCCCTTGGATCCACACCGAGCGGTCGAGTAGGAAGAGCCGCCTTTCTCCCAAGCGATCCTGGACGCGCCCATCCCACTGAGGTTCAAAGCCCCAATCATGAGCTCGTATGATGGGTCTGGGGATCCAGTCTCGTATGTAGAGATGTTCGAAGGAAAGATGGATTTTTTGGCCGCGAGCGACGTCATAAAATGCCGAGCATTTCAGATAGCACTGGCAGCCTCGGTGAGACTATGGTACCGACAGCTGAAGTCGAGGTCAATCGACAGTTATCAGTAGTTGAGGAGGTTATTAGTCAACCAGTTTTCAGCCAGGCAATTATTGAAGTTACCGCCTTCTCACCTCGGAACAGTGAAGCAACTGGACAATGAGTCCCTTACGGAGTACATTGCTCGGTTCATGGATGAGCATGTCAAGGTGGTGAGCTGCACCGACGACATCGCCATGATGTACTTCACGACAGGGTTGAATGACAGAAACTTGACAATCGAGTCCGGAAGCCGCCCACCGGCCTCTTTAAACGAAATGTTTGCCCGAGCTCGTCAGTATATTGATGGCCTGGATCTGTGGAAGGCCAATGAAGCCAAGCGAAGCAGCAGCGGTAGAGATCGAGAACACAAGTCTCCACCCTCCAAGAAGTGGCGGTGATGATCGAAGTTCATCTCGGCGAGCCAATGACGACAAGAATAGATGCCGGCATGATGAAAGGGTCCCTTCGGATCGTCGCGGGCCAAAGTTCGACAGGTTCACTCCGTTGAATGCCTCGATCGCTGAGATCTACGCGGCCGTCGAAGACACTGACCTGAAGACACTGTTCGCAGCCCCGGAAAAGCTTCGCCGACCTTCGGGAAAGCGAGACAAGCTGACTCTACTGACGATTCCACAAGGATCACGGCCATGATACCTCTCGTTGCTTCGACTTAAAGGAGCAAGTCGAGGATTTGATTCTGAGGGGTTATCTAAAGAAATATGTCGGCAGTAGAGAGCGAGCAGAGCTAGAAGGGTTATCTCGTGAAGAGAAGCAAGAAAGGTTGCAGCCGTCCAGAAGCAAAGAAGATCGCCCTGCAGTTATAAATACCATTCACGGAGGTCCGAGCGGGGGGCAGTCAGGGCAGAAGAGAAAAGCTCTGGCTCGGGAGGCAGCACACGAGGTCTGTACCTCGTACCCCAAGGAACCCGTGATGCTGATCTTGTTCGACGAGCAGGACAACGAAGGGGTGCATATGCCTCATAACGATGCCTTGGTGATCACCCCCTTATAGATCATGTGAAGGTCAGAAAAGTTCTTATTGATGGTGGGTCGTCGACCAACATATTATCATTCTCGATCTACTAGGC